CCTGCCTCTGCCTCCTGAGTGCTGGGACTAAAGGCGTGTGCCACCAACGCCCGGTGGGTTTTTTTGGGGGGGGGGTAAGATTTATTTATTTATTTATGTGCATGCCAGAAGAGGGCACCAGATCCCATTACAGATGGTTGTGAGCCACCATGTGGCTACTGGGAATTGAACTCAGGACCTCTGGAAGAACAGTCAGTGCTCTTAACCCCTGAGCCATCTCTCCAGCACAACTCAGCTATTCTTAAAGTGTGGACTTAACTGAGGCCCAGTGCAAACAGCTTCTCCTGGCTCCAGCTTCTGGCACCCATGTGGGCTGCTGGACGTGTCTCTCCAGGAGGCAGAGCTCCCTCCCTGCTCTGAGGCCTCCCACAGCTCTCAAGGCTCCCCGTAACCCTCACAGTAGGAACACCACTGAGCTCTATGCATGGAAGCTCCCAGCCTCAGTCCCCCAGAACCCACAGTCTCTTCCTCTTCTCCAGTGACTCTGATGACATCCAGGCAAAAACATTTATACTGCCTCCAAGCAGTCCATTAAAATTCTGGACATGCTGGGAGTGGAGCGATTCCACCCCTCAGGTCTGCAATTCTTCCCCTTGCACAACATGTGTCCAATTATGATTACATGCATTGTTATCACTGCCTTAATAAGGATCTAATCTCGTCCCTTCAGTGCACCTAACAGTACCTTTCCCCACTGCAGGCTGACAGTGCAGGGTGTGGTGGCACCACCTGACTTCTCTCCCAACATTCCAAGCTGTCCTGCTAGGGCTCTCGCAGACTTCAACCAGCCCAGTACATGGCTACTCTGGTCGCCTAGAGGAGAGGCATGGGGTGCAAAGGTCTCAGACTTCAAAACAGTAACCGAGAACTCCAGATGTAAAGACCCGAGGCTCTTGGGATGGAGTATGCTCTAATTAGCACCTTCTCAATTGCCTCTCCTCCAGGGCAGTGTGAGGAACACTGTAAAGGGGCTGGCTTGGTGTGTGGAGACAGAAAGCATTCTCAAACTGGTCTCACCACACAGGCACCCCCTCAGAAGAGCCCATCTTGCAGATGCTGGGTAGCTCACACCACCCTTCACCCGTCTTTCCCATCTGGACTTGAGCGTGGCACAGGTGCTAGAGATGTCTAGTGCCAGCACATGGTGAAGCTGCCAGATTGCCCAGCACCCAAGCATGCCAGTGATCCTCTTTCCAAGGGGCAGAGATGGTGAGACATCACACAGACTCTGGAGCAGGGCTCGACCCTGAGGCACAGGGAGAAGCCCAAGCTAAGGTAGCCCAGCCACAAGCAATGGCTTTGCTGATCTCTTTTTTTTTTAAGGATATTATTTATTTATTATGTCTTCTGCCTGCATGCCAGCAGGTGGTTGCTGGGAATTGAACTCAGGACCTCTTGGAAGAACAGTCAGTGCTCTTAACCACTGAGCCATCTCTCCAGCCCTTTGCTGATCTCTTGAGTCATTTGTTCACATTGCCCAGGCAGGACAATCTGGGAGAAGGCAGGTCCATCAGAATCCGGAGTAAGGTCAGATTCCAGGCTCTAAAAGGTATGTAGCCCATTGCAAGTGACTTTGTTGCCTGCCCCACTAATCCAGAATGAAGATGTGGTGAGGCTAGGGACCCAGCATCCTGATTGGGTGAGAAGCTCAGGCCTCCTTACTAGGGGTTACTAGGCCCCCAAGTCCTCAGCTGTGGCTGTGCTGGGCACACATATCATCTAAGTAGAATATCTCAGCATTGCTCTAAAGGGATCTTCGGGGTCCTCCAGCCACATTCAGGCTCTCTCCTTGAGTGCTCTCTCACTCTACTACCGCCTGGGCAGTGGGAGACCCTCGGTTCCCTTCACACACCCATCAGGCCCCCACCTCTCATTTACACCCCCCACCCAGACTTGTTTGTTGTGGTTTTCCCCACAGGCTCTTGCACGGGAGGCTTGGTCCCACAGCATGTTCTGAGGTGACCGGCATGTGAGGGTGACGTCATCAATGGCTTAATCCAGTGATGAGTTCATAGCTGAATGGCCTTTGAAGTATATAACTTGACCTCCTTGGTCCCTTCCTGGCTCCATCTGCTTTAATAGTCACCATGAGGTAGGTGAGCCACCCTGCCCAATCATATGCTCCAAGTTATGGGGTGAGAGATCACAGAACTCAGAGCCCCCCCTTTTCTATGTAACAGCTTCCAGCATGCTGGGAGCACTAGGGCGGCCTGAGGTGACACTGTTCCTCTGCGAACTTCCTCCAGGAGTCCACCAGGCCTCCAGGTGTTAGAGCGGCAGCGTGCAAGCCCCGTGACTCCCATCCTGGCAGCAGAGAACCCCAGAAGCCTCTACTCTGCTTCTCCCTCCATGATCTTTGAGGGAAGCATTTGATGAAACCGAGCACCTTGTAGAAATCACTTTAGCCACCAGGGTTCACACCAGGCCCTGTGCCAGTTAAAGCCTGTGTGCATGTTCTACAGTGACCTCTGTCTGTCCTAAACCCAGCTTCTGCCTGCACTGGTTGCTCACTGTGGGGTGGAGAGGGTTTCCATTCACAGCTGCTGCTTCCCTCCCTCCCTGCTGGATGACACACCGGCCCCTTCTTACACTCAGTGGCATCTGCCCTACCTGCCTTGCACTGAGCCTCCTGACCAGGAACACGTCAGGTCTCTGGTGCAAAGCGGGTTTTGGATTTCATGTTCTGTCTACTGTCTTTTGTGCCACTGGGGATCTAACCAGGGGCATCCTGCCTCTGAGTTACAGGGTTATTTTTGAGGTCATATGTGGCATTATTCATCTTCACCACCTCCTCCCCAGCTGTGCACTCACTGGTCCCTCCCCGGCCCTATCACCAGGGTTTATAAGTCTGTCTGCACTCTCCACAGTCTTGACGCACCTTGGAGGTGGCCGAAGCTCAGCCGTCCTCAGTAATGTGTTTATAGCATGACTCTGAACTCAAGAATTGCCACCCATCTTCATTTTTCTAACGGATGACACTGACCCCCTGGGGAGACCACTGGCCTTCTAAGTGGAGGCAGTCTGAAAGCCAGACTGGCCAGGGTGCCTCCGCTTGGAACACACACAGGCCCAGGTTGTGCTCTGAGCTGAGGCGTGGTGAGTAATGCAGCATGTGACTGAGTCTTACCTGCCTGGTGCTGACACTTTAGCACTGGTGGACTCGGCCTTTTTTCATAGGAGACTGAGACATGGGTGAGCTGTCACTCAGCTACGTAGAAGGTTGGATGCCATATGTGAGACCTGGCTCTCCCACCTAGGTGCTGTGATTTAGTGAACCTGGTCACTCCAGTGCCCTAGGCCAGAAAAATTGTCCTAGGCTAGGTCAGGTCATGCCTGTCACAGAAGGGACTCTACCAGCTGGGTCATTTCAGCTGTAAATAACTGTTTTTACAATGTTGGGAATTAAATCAGAGCCTGGTAAAAGTTTATGAATGGTTCAGTGGCTAAAGACACTGGCTGCCATCCCTGATGAGCTGAGTTCAATCCCAGGGATTCATATGGTAGAAACAATACTCACCAAACTGTCCTCTGACCTCCATATGCACACCATGGCATGTATGTAAATATTCATATATGGTAAGTAAATGTAGAAAAATTTAAATAGCAAGTAAACAATTACCTTTTATTGGAATATCTATGTTGTGACTCTAATTTTTGTTTTTGTTTTTCAAGACGGGGTTTCTCTGTGTAGCCTTGGCTGTCCTGAAACTTGCTCTGGAGACCAGGCTGGTCTCAAACTCACAGAGATCCACCTGCCTCTGCCTCCTGAGTATAGGGACTAAAGGCAGGTGCCACCACTGCCTGGTGGTGACTATGATTTTTAAATAAAGGGAAAAATTCTAAACAAAGGAGACAGTTTGTATAGACTTTAAAATATATATATTTAGAGAGAGATCAGATGTAGCTTTCTGAAAATAATTATTTGGAAGAAAGCAAACACAATGCAGTTTGGGAATCACAAATGAAGGTGCCTGATTCTGTCCCCTCCATCACAGAGGGGTATTCACTTCCTGGTCCCAAGGACAATAAAGAGATGAAGTTTTTGGCAAAGGGGCTGCAGAATCAGAAGAAGGTCAGATCGTCATGTCGATTTTTGTTGATCTGGTAGGAAGACAGGGTCAAGGGCTTGTTTTCATGGGGAAGGGGCTTGAACACCCTCAAGTGCACAAATTTTTCGTCACCAACATCAACCTGGAGGGAGAGAAAGAGGGGCCCAGTAGCAAAAGGTGAGTGCCCAGCTCCAGACTCAGCCTGGCCTTAGAGAAGCTCAGGGTACCAGCAACTGGGCCAGTAAAATGCTTGTCTCTTCCTTCAAGACCAGGAACTCCAGGACCCAAAATTCATCGTCTCAGAACCTATATGTGTCTTTTTTTTTTTTTTTTTTTTTGCTACACAGGGTTTCTCTGTGTAGCTTTGGAGCCTCTCCTGGCCCTCGCTCTGGAAACCAGGCTGGCCTCAAACTCACAGATATCTGCCTGCCTCTGCCTCCCGAGTGCTGGGATTAAAGGCATGCGCCACCAACGCCCGGCTATATGTGTCTTCTTAAAGGGTGTTCCCTCTAAAGGAAGAAGTTGCAGAACACTTGGCTATCCTCTGAGACTGTCCTTCCTCAGTTTTTCCCAGGTCACACTCATACCTACCTTGATAAAGAAGTTGATGCCAGCCACCACCTGTTGCCTGAAGGATACGGCTTTAAAGACGGTGAACTTCTGATTCTCTTTCTCTTCAAGCTGGGATTTCACCTGGATGGTGGGTGATAAGAGAATGACTCAGATTCAATGGCAAGTGCTTTCCTGCCTCTCTTAGGATCCCCCCCCCACCCCCCGCCAGCCATCAACACTAGTGTTCCTCACAGTGGGGGACATGGTAAGCTGTTGGGTGCACTGACAAAGGGGATCACAGCTCCTCTTTTGAGACACGGTCTCACTGTGCAGCTATGGCTGGCCTGGAATTATGTAGACCAGGCTGGCTTCAAACTCTGAGAGATTTGCGTATCTCTGCCTCTGGAGTGCTGGTGTAAGACACTACACCTGGCCAGGGTTCCCTTTAAGTGTACATAGCTCGGTGTCAGGGGTGTAAATCTGCCCAGGCTGAGTAAGAATGATGACAGGCAAGGGTTGCTTGGGCCTGTCAGGGGAGGGCTGGGCAACTGTGTCTGTACCAATTCCTCATTTTCAGGGTCTCATGGAGCTGACTCACTCCTTCCTGGCCACTTTGGTCAGATCACAAACATTCCAAGGACAGCTCAGCTTGGTGGACAGGACCCTGGACTTGGGAGGTGGCTGGAATGCTGAAGGGTGGACATGTTTAACTTTTCCTCTCTTGTTAACACCCTGAACCTCTCTGGCCTGCACATGTCTGCTCTGCAGACAGCCACAGGACGGGCTGCGGGACTCAGAAATCATGCACCAGGAACTCCCACCCAGGTCCATCCTCTGGCTGCAGACTAGGAAATCTAGGCACTAACTAGCAAGTTCTGCAACTTTTGGTTTCAACTTTTCTTTCTCCCGGAGGGAGTGGGGTAAGGTGTGTCCTGCCACTGAGCTATACATTCCTAAGTCTTTATTTTGAGAAAGAGACTCCCACTGTAGCCCAGGCTGGCCTTCATCGAGTCTCTTGTTTAGGCCTGGGTTGAAGTCAGAGGGTGCCTCACCTTCGGGCTAGCCTGATTTTACCCCTGGGCTCTAGCAGTGTGAGCCTCCTTCCTGAACTCTTATGGGACGTCTCACCCCTCCGCCGACCTCGATTTCCTAGTTTCCTAGGAGGTGGGCGGTCCTCTCGCAGACACGACCCAGTCCCGGTTTCTGAATCCTCCAACCAGGCCCAGAGTCCCAGCTCCCAGGCGCAAATGGGACCGCGCCCGCATCCTGCTACAGGACCCGGGCGGGTTTGGGCATGCCGGACCCTTAGGCCGCCGGGTCCCCGAGGGCCTGGCTCTTGCTGGCTCTTGTCCTGGGCCTAGCTCACCGTGTCGGAGATCTCCTGCGTCTCGGCCGTGGCCGGCTGCGTGGCGGACGGCGCTCCACACATCATCTTGGCTGCGGTGGACCTGGGGGCACGGACAGGAGATAAGGACGGAAACAGCGGGGAGGCTTCTGTGCCGGGACCCTAGAAGAACCTGACTCGGCTCCGCCCCCGGGCGCGTGGCACGTGACAAAGCGACGGGACGGGGCGGGGCGGGGCGCCGCACCCTCCCTCCCTCTCTCCAATGTCCTCACTCCTACATCTTAGGCAGTCTTGAGATCCAGGCTGGGCGTGGGCGGAGAGTGCAGCCCAGTGGATACCTCAGGCCCCTTCCCCGGATGGGCACTAAGTGGGGGTAGAAGGCTGGGAGTGGTGATCGCCCCTCAGTAGTGCGGAGTGACTGGAGCATCCGAACCCTCATTCTTTCCATGGCCATCTCAATTCCCCCTTGCCCTGTGGACATAAAGAGGGGGCTGGGTGGGTCCCTAGCCCCCCTTCCATGGGGTGGGCACAAAAATAGAGATGAACGATGACTTAAAGTCCCAGTTCTCCCCTGGTGTCCTGAGTTTGTGGGTCCTGGTAACCCCATAAAATAAGAGCCTATGGGGATCCCCCATGATCTGATCTGGGAAATCCATTCTTCCTGAATGAAATGGGTGTGGACATACTTAGGTTTGTTGGGCTGTAAGGGCTTGGGTATCCCAGTCCCACCATCGGGCACATAATGGGGAGGTCCGGACCCCACTCTCTCATACCCAGTACAGGCTGGGAACCGTGAGGACCCCCGATATGCATGCCCTCTGTCAGTGGTCTTGTTTGAGTGACTGTTAATCCTGAGATTCACACCAGAGAAAAAACAGTTACACCATTTTGACCGAACTAAAGCAAGCTTTTATTAAAGGGTTAATACTGACCAAGATGGAATTTGTTCGGGACCACCACCTGAAGACACATGTTGACATTGACAGAGCTTATAAAGACAAAACTCAAAGGCCACGGTACTTTGCCATGAGACTTTGTTTTCAAGAACTACAACTCCAGGAAGTTATTCCAGGAAGCATTCCGGGAAGTTAACTGGTTCTTGGGCAGGTGGGGTTTACAGGTTAACTTAGGGTCTAACATGACCTTCAGTCCCAATCCCTCTAGTGTTTGTTTTTCCATCGACCAAAATACCAGAATTTGATAGCTGGATGTGACAGTGCACACTTTCTATCCCAGCTCTTGAGAGGCTAAGCAAGCTGGCCTAGTGAGCCCTTGTCTTAAAAAATTAAGAATTTGGGGCTGCATTGATAGCTCATTGTAAAGTGCCTGCCATGCAAGTGTCACAACCTGAATTTGATCCTCAGAACCCAGTTAAAGAGTTGAATGGGAGACTGGAGTAAGGAACACTGGCTGCTCTTCTAGGTGTCGTTCAGTTCCCAGAACCCACATAGTAGCTCACAACCATCTGTAACTCTTTCCAGGGGATCCAATGCCCACCTCTGGCCTCTGTGGGCACCAGGCATGCAAATGATGCCCAAACATACATGCAGGCTGTGGTGGTGGTAATAAAACCCAAACTAAGAGAGAAGTTGGTACCAGAGACTAGGGTATTGTTTCGATAGGCCTGATTATGATTTTGTTTGAAGGAATGTGGACTTTGGATTAGAAAAGCAATTGAGGCTGGGTGTTAGTGGCACATACCTTTAATCCCAGCACTCAGAAAGCAGAGGAAGGTGGATCTCTGTGAGTTCAAGGCCAGCCTGGTCTACAGAGCAAGTTCCAGGACAGACAGGCTCCAAAGCAATACAGAGAAACCCTGTCTCAAAAAAAAAAGGGGGGGGGAGAGAAAGAAAGAAAGAAAAGAAAAGCAATTGAACACTTTAAGTGGGACTTAATGGCCATACTAGTAGGAGCAAGGAAGACCATGCTGAGCATGATTTGAACCATGGGGGCCTGGCTCTAGAGGTTTCAGAGAAGAGTATTTGTGTGTAGCCTAGAGACCATTCTTGTAATATTTTGGCTAAGAATGTGGCTGCCTTTTGCCCTTGTCAGAAAAGGCTACCTAAGGCTAAAGTGAAGAGTTTCGGATTAATTGCATTGGCAGAGGAAATTTCAAAATAGCCTAGTATTGACTCTGTCCTGTGGTTATCTCTTATGAAGATCTATAATGAAAAGAAGCAAGCCGAAGAAGGAAAAAACAAAATGTACAAGGAGAAATACAAATGTTATTTATATTACAAATGTATTATACAAATAGAAAATGTTCAATAAGAAAAGGGGTGCCAGGAAGTAGAATGGGGCCAAATCCTGTGTTCAAGAAAATAAACAGTTTAAACAGACTCCTGATGTTAAATGGAATAAAGGGAGTGGTGACCTCAGGGCAAGATCCTACCTAGCTAAGCTTCCAGTGTGTGAAAAGGAATGAAAAGTTTAGGGCCAGGTATGGTGGTGCACGCCTTTAATCCCAGCACTAGTCTGAGCCCAGCCTGGTCTACAGATGGAGTTTCAGGACAGCTAAATGTAGGCAGTGAAGGACACCATCAAAAACAGAAAGATGTGAAGATGTGATTGAACAAGGGGGCCATGTTCGAGCCCCAGCAAGAAACAGAACTTGGCAGCTTTAGTCACATGGTTCTGGCTTTAGAGTCAAGGATAGAAGGGCTTATGGAGTCTCCCTTTGAGACTAAGAAAAGCCACTGAGGTCAGCCATGTGTCAGGGGTGGCCCTGAATGGAGACCTAGAGAGGCCATTGTGTGAAGCTGTGAAGGTGAAGCCTGGGTTACCTTGGAGACTCTGAGATGTTAGAGATTCCAGAGTCATGGAATACCTGTTGAGGAGAGCTGCTAACAGGGAGTGGAACCAGCCCAAAAGAAAGAGGTGTGTTGTAGTCAGCAAAGCTGAAAGGAGTTGGAGATCTGAAGAGGGCTTTGACATCTGACATGGAGATGCAGAGTTTAGAGTTTGCCCAGCTGGTTTTTGGTCTTGTTTTGGTCCAGTATTTCCTCACTATGCTCCCTTCAATGTTTTGGAACAATAATCTATATACTGTTCCATTATATGTTGGAAGTATGTGATCTGCTTTTTGATTTTGATTTTACAGGGGATTATAGTAATGAGATTGTGTCAATCTCAGAAGAGACTTTGAACTTTGGATTTTTAAATACATTTGATGCCTGATCTCACTGTGTAGCCCAGGCTGGCCTTGAACTCAAGCTGCTTCTGCCTTAGCAGCCTGAATCCCAGGACTCCAGGTGTGGACCATCGAGAAGTTTTAAGAGACCACAGTTGCCAGGTGGTGGTAGTACATGCTTTTAATCCCAACACTTGGGAGGCAGAGGCAGACCAATCTCTGTGAGTTAGAGGCTAGTCTGGTCTACATAGCAAGTTCCAGGACAGCCAAGGTTGTTACACAGAGACCCGGTCTTGAAAAATTTGAGAGAGAGATAGACACACACACACACACACACAGAGAGAGAGAGAGAGAGAGAGAGAGAGAGAGAGAGAGAGAGAGAGATTGATTACAGCTATGAGTTTGAGATAAGCAGATATTCAAGTTTTGGTTTTTTTTTTTTTTTAAGCCTAGAAACATGGAAGGAGTGGAAGGAGCCAGGAGAGGAGATATGGAATACAGTGGGTGAGTTGCCTTCCTGCCTACAGCTGCTGGCCGATACTGACAGACTTAGGCCATAGAGTGACCTGGTGTCCTGTGCCTTTGGGAGTTCCCTAGCAGACAGACAGCTCTTTGTTGGCACCGCCTTGCAGGTGCCCACACTTTCCCAGTAGGAGGTGAACACCTGTGGAAACAGGCAGGCCAGCCCCAGTGAAAACAAGCAAGGCTGTTTATCCAGGGCTCGGTCAGTGCATCATTCGTGTGGGCAGAGATGGAGGCAGGCAGGAGAGGGGAAGGTGTCATGACTAGAACTGGCCCTAAAAAGTTGGATTCCTTGCTTATTTCACTAGGCAAAAACTCTACTAGTGCGCTGTGCCCCAGGCTCTTTAATTTTTTTTCATTTTGACATAGGGTCTAAGTTGCCCAGGCTGGCCTTGAACCCATTCACCCATGTGGACTGAGTGAAATTGAACATAGTTACCCATGTCATCCTTGGATTTTAGATTCTCCGGACTCAACTTTCTGAGTAGTTGTAATTATGGTCCTGCCCCAGGGATAACTTAACAGTTATCCCTTTGGCCCCATCTGTTTTCTGAGAGTTGAGCCTAGAGTTGAAAGACCAAAGCTTCCTAAACTCGGGACAAACAAGCCCAATTGCTCAATTCTGCAAGATAGGAAGTGTGTCAGCATGAGATCATGGGCAGAAGAGGTTGGTGGTGTAGAAAAGCCTCTCTGTGGCTGACTTGGCCCTAGTGAGCCTCCTACAGCCCCAAAGGTTGTGTCCTCAATGCTGTTTGACAACAAAACAGGAAAGACCCCTCCCAAACCCTTCAGAAACCAGCATGGAAGCACAGGCCTGTCATCCCAGCACTTACATGGTTAAAGCAAGATGAGGAAATTTGGGCTAGCCTGGACTATCTAAAAATAATGAATCCCTGCTTTGGGAGTGCATGGTGTCTATATTGTTGGGGAAATAGTTTTATGACCCAAATTCCTACAGATCAAACTTGACTGGCTAGCCTGCACCCTAGGAATCCTCCTCTCTTCACCTCCACATTGCTGGAGTTAGAAGCTCCTGTCCTCACGCCTGGCTTCTTTCATGGCACTGGGGATCTAACTTAGGTTCTCATGCTTGCAAAGCAAGCACACTGCCAATGGAGCTTCCACCTCAGTCCTGTAACGTGTATTCTGAGGTCTATTTCTATGTATTGCATTGCTGTATTGACGAACTTTCATGTCAGAGAGTCCTTCTAAAATTCTTGCCTAGGCTGTCTTGTTTCTCACTGTTGTGACAATGCCTGCTCTGGCACACGGGTTTGCCATTTTATTGCTGGCCCTGCCACCAAAATGTGAAGCCCCTTTAGGTAGGGACCTCCTCTTGCTTACATTGAGAGTAGGCCATGTGGTGGGCACACACCACTAGCCCTGGGGAAGCAGAGGCAAGTGGATCTCCGGGCCAGCCAGGGTTACGTAATGAAACTATGGGGGAGTGAGAAAGGAGAAGAGAAGGGAGGGGAAGGGAGGAGAGGGAAGAGAAGGGAAGAGGGAGAGAGAGGAATAAGAGGCACCTGCATTAGACAGT